CAGTGAGAATTACTTCGCTTGTGAGGGCAGCACAAGGTGTCCCAGTCTTTCAGAATCACGTTTGCTACGGTAGTTGTGTGTTTGTGGTTGAGATGTGAGGAAAGGAGACAGCCCTTTGCTAGATATAGGGGTTCTGTGCATCTCTTTTTGTAGAAAAAACATGGTTCATTGAAGACATTTGTCTACATTTCATGGTGGAGAAATTATTTATTTGATTTTTTTGGTCCTGCAGGGGAGTTTCCTGCTTGATGTGGTTGCCTACAACAAGCATGTGCTCAAAATAAAATAAATGCATTGCTAGATTTACTAATACTGAAAGGGGGCAGATTTCCAGTAGGGGGTTTGGATGGCTGGCTGGTAGTTGAGGACATCATCAACCTCCACAGCAAGATTTACTGAGGAATATTTGTCAAATGATTTATTGATAAGCACAAGGACTGTACAACTGATTTATTGTGAAAAGGGAGAGAAGATCTAAGGTCTTGCTGTTAAGTTTGTTGAAGTAGATATTGTTACACATGAGTGAGAAGCTGTTGCATGTTTCTAGCTCTGTTTTATGGAAAATAGGAAACCTCTGAAAGAAAAGGCCTTTTTTGTTTACATGTATATAACCCAGTGTTAAAATACATCTAAACCTATAAAAACCCAAACGTGTACGTACCTGGCTCTGATCCCAGATGAGATAGCAGGCTCTGCATAACGCTTTGCTAATGCACAAACGTCTTGTGATTGACTCTCAGATGTTGCTCTGCTACAGAACTGATATCTGTGAAAGTGTGTGCTGTATTACGCTCCATCTCAAGGTACTTGCCAGCTTAAAGCAGTGTCAGTTTTGTATGCAAGAATCCAGAAGGTCGAGTAGTTTCCTCTTCTGGTTATTCCTGAGGAAATGTGGGTGATAAATTGACTGTGTGAAGTGTCAATTAATTGCAAAAAATAAAGGCATAGGATGTTCTGGTGTGTATGTAATCCCTACCAAAGTGGTGTGTGAAGGCAGGCAGCTGATAGCCACGTCTGTTCAGACAGAGCTCAACGTGACTGGTGAGTGGTAACTCATTTTAGTTACTGTTGTCAGTGTGATGCAGCAGCGTCGCCGACTGCAGCCTCAGCGTGGTTTCATAAACCAAGTGCTTGTTGCATTAAAAAGTCCTCCATTTTTAGTTAACACTTTGGTCACGTTCCTGGTGACAGTTCTTTTTTGGAAAGGGAAATTACCCGCCCCTGGAGATATTCTGGATATGTTGTTGTTGTTTACCAAAGTTTTACTTCAATATTTATTCATCAGCGTTAACTCTTGAACTCCCAGCTCAACTCATGAACTGAGAGTGACGGCTTTTTGGCACTGTTGTCACAGATGAGGTTTAACATCCTTACGTGTCTGCTGTCTCAAAGCTTAGTGGTGGTGTTTGAGTGTGTGTGTGTATAGTATTTGTATTTTATATATATATATGTGTGTGTGTGTGTATATAGTATTTGTATTTTATATATAAACACATATGTGTGTGTGTATAGTATTTGTATTTTATATATATATACACACATAAATATATATGTGTGTATATATAGTAATTGTATTTTATATATATACACACATATATATGTGTGTATATATAGTATTTGTATTTTTTATATATATATATACACACATACACATACATAATGTGTATATATAGATAAAATAAGTCAGTGTATAAGACTTAAATTTAGAATGATAGCTGCTTCGTGCAGTCTGAGCAGTGGGCTTCTTGCTTCCTGTTTTTCCAAAGACAAAGCCTGTGTAGCAGTGTAATAACCTGAGGATGGAGTGTGTGTCCTCAGGAACTGCAGTCAGTATATTTGCTGGAAGGAATCTATCTAAGCTGGAATAATTAAACTTCCTGGTTTTGTTTACAAATCGTTTCCAGAAATTCCTGTGTGCCAGTGTAAAAAAAAAGAAAATATGGGGCTGAGAGACTTTTAAACAATTCCAAATAAAGGATGTCCAAATAGATTCCACATAAAATAACTGTAACAGGAGCTCTTGCCACTGAAGATGTAAGGTTCCTCAGGCAGTAACGCCCGTTGTGGACCAGGGCTTTGTTTTGATGGTGGCTCAATGTACCGAGATGTTAATGTGTGTAGTCTGTTCTTGGGAGTTGCAATCTGATCCGACTCTGCTGCGATTGCAGTCGGGAGCAGGCTGCGACTTCCAGAATTGCAGGTGGTGACTCATCCTCTGGGAAGGAAGAGTCTTAGCAGAGCTGTTGCTAAACACTCCAGCGGGGCTCTGATAGAGGAGCTTGAAATATTACTGCTCCACAAGTGCTATTTGAGCAGACAGTTTCAGAATAAGTTATGTGATCAAGGCGTAGTAAGATGAATAAGTGATAAGCTGTATTTGGTAAAAAGTCAGACTAGAGGAGAACTTTAAGGAAGTACTAAATACCACAGAAAAGTAAGTTGTATTTGGTGTTAAAGAGAATGTGGACTGGATTTTTGCTCTTTTCTTGTTCCTCTCTGAGATTACTGACATGTCACAGCCTTTGCTGCTTCAGCAAGTATCTTAGCCTTTATTACAACCTCATCAATGAAAAAAAAATACTGCTTTGACTTTTTAATACTTAAAATAGCAGAATTATATTTAGAGTGGCATTTAACCCCTTTTCTCATCACCAGTTCTATGTGCTTTGCCTGGTTAAATACTCCAATGTATAACATTTCAGCAATTCCCTTCCCCATCCCCTCTCTTTATTCATTGCTGCTCATAAACAGTGTACATGAATGCAATTAAACTGTTGTATACAGGTGTATCAAAAAGAAAAAAAATCATAAATGCCTTTGTGAGGAGGGTACAACCATCAAATAGTATCAAGAGTGTGTATTTGAGGCTCAGATTTATCTGTGTGTGGCTGGGCAAGTGTATGTCATGCTTATCGTTAAAATATTTCCCCCTGTACAGCGGCAGATTAGAAAGAGAAGCTGCTTTTCTGGGTATGGTGCTGTGTCATCAAGTGTTGTTGAGACATGAAGGGCAGCGTGTGGTCTGACACAAATGTTTATTTGCTCAGTAGTTGTGATGTGGAAAGTTTATGCAAGATGTGCCACTGTAATTTCTCTTCACCTCGAGCAGTTGCATATATGCCTCTTTTCTGTCTGTTTGTTGTTGCAGAAATCCATAACCATGAGCCTTGTTCAAAACTCTTTAGGTAAGCATTTTCTGTTTTCTTGTGTTGGCTGCAGAATACAAAAATAGGTAGCTCATTGAAATATATTAATATTAGCATTTCAAAAGTACCTACCAGTGTTTGCATTGTTTGCTCATCTGATGATATTAAAGGAAATGTGTAAATAGCACCAGCCGTGGCAATGGAAATATGAGTTTACAGTTTTAGTCATATAAAACATTAGGTTAGAAAGTGTGCTGAGGCAGCTAGTACAGGGTTATCTCTCCATCTCTTTGAAATTCCACCTCGTGTAGTTAGTGGAGGTAGGATAGCAGTCGGATCAAATCATATCACTTTGATAATTAGGATGAATGTCAAAACCAATTTCAATTATGGTAGTCTTGGCTTAGCTCTGCTTGGACCTGGTGGGTCACAGGAGCTGCCCTAACCTTAGTAACTCGCTGTGTTAACAAGTTGTTCTGTAGCTGGTTGTACTGACTTACACCATCTCATTATTCTGAAGCCTTCAGCTTACTAGGGTTTTTTTTTTGTCTTCTGATCTCCTGCACACCAGAATTTAAATTGAATATAGGTCTAATACATTCGATTTAGCAGCTTCCATCTATTTATATGTAGCTTTTCTCTACAGTCTTCACACAGTGATGGCTTCTAAATTGCTGTCTAGAAATTCTTTTTAGAAGGAATTCCCAATTAATCTCCCCTTTATTTAGAGATTTCCAGCCAATTAAGAAGACACAGTACCTTAGATATTATGATTGACATTAGTTACACTAGAGAGAAAAGCTCCAGTCTGTCACTTGCTATCTGATAATTACAGAGAGGGTTCTCTTAACGCAGCGATTTAAATGCTAGAGACTCTACACATCAAGATAATATCCCAGTGTCTGGTAGACTCCGATTCCTACTGATGCTTTGTGCAGCGCATATCAAAACCGATCACGTTTGCTGCTTCTCCCCAGTCAAGAAATTGGTTGTTAGTAACTGAGCTGATGGAGGAAGGGGAAGAAGTCTGCGTTTCGCTGCATGCTTTCTGCACAAGAAAACTGATGAGTTTATTGACTTCAGAGCACAGGGGACACTCACAGCTCGTAAAGCCGTTGTCAGCACCAGAGCGTGCTGTTGCTTTCTCGTTAGTTGTAGCAGGTGCTGATTTTGGGGTATCCTGCCTTACCCTTTTGGCTTAAGTGTAGCCAGTTTGCAGAGGTCTATTGCTCACCCACTCTGTATTTTGGGAGCTGGCACTGCTGATGTTGAGTGTAACAGACTTGGTTCCAGTGCTATTACCAACGTGTCGGAACTGATTAGGAAACAAGGATTTTAAAATTTCCAAGGAAGGTGTTTCGTTTTGTACTAGTGGCTCATCCCATAAGAATATTATTCTTGTAAGGCACAGAAGGAGAAAGAATTGGATATCTGCTACTTACAAGAATATATAAATATTGTGAACGTGAATTGAAAAGATTATGCAAGTATTATGTAGTATCTCAAATTAGTAGTTAGTTGTAGTCTTAATATTTACAATAACTTGCATCTTGAAACAAATTTTATTTCCACCCTTATTTACCAGCCAAGTACTGAGCTCAGGATTTTCTGTTGTGTTTTTTTTACCCCCCACACACAAGAGTTGAGATCATAGACCTCTAAAACAGAGTGTTTTCCTGCGCTGCTTTAGGTGTTATGATATCAGCTCTTGAGAGAGACTGAGGACTTGGCAGGTAAGTCGAGGAGGAATCTGTTTTTCAGTTGTTTTTCCTTTTCTCATGAAGTGTGATCTACTTGAATTTATAAACCTGTCTGTGTAGATGGATTTATAAATTCTTAAATCTGCCATGTCCTCAAAATAACAACTTGTCAAGGCATGGACCTTGTTTCTGTAAGCAGGGCCGTATGGAAAGACTGTGGTACTTTGGATTCTTGCTGACCTCAGTTATAACTGGTTTGGATTCAAGGGTCCAATCATGTGAGTCTAATTGCAGGACTGGAGCTCCAGAAACTGATTTGTAGTTGCATGTAAAATGGCCCTGCTTTCTTTTCTCCTTTGGCAGGTAGGCCTCTTATTACCCAAGCAGGGTTTTTACAGGAAGCTGGTCAAAATAAAATTACACAGCCTGTTTATGTCCATACCCCTTGTTGCAGGGGCTGGCAATGAAATTCTAGGTATCAAACTAATGTGTGCAATGAAAGCATTTTAAAACTAATAATTACAAACATATTTAATTACAAGTGGTTTAAAAGAGGTTAGAGTTTTCACACCAGCTAGTCTTATGCTTCGAAATTAAATGATCTGCATCTTCCTGTGTGACAAACTGCGTCTGTGTATTGGCTGTGCAGTCAGCCTAGGCTTCCAACTGTGCTCTATGTAGCATGTATGGATATTTTAAGTAGGTGGTGTGAATCCTGACCTATGTTGATAAAGGTAAAACTATAGAAGTTGCTTTGTAATGTACAGAATGCCACCTATTTGAAGAATACTCGAAGTATAAATTATTTACCTTACTACTAATGTGTGTGTATAAACTGTGTACCTACCTTTCTCTCTTCCTTTTTTTTGGTTCAAGCTTTTATGACTATGCAGGCAAGGTTAATGAGGAGAGTTTGGACAGGATTCTTAAAGACCGAAGAAAAGTAAGTTTGCTTTCTTTTCCTCTTGCTCTAGACATTACAGCCTTTAATTAGAAAGAGTGGTGCTGGAAAACAGACCGACAAAAAAAGGTAGTTAACTAGCAGAAATATTTTTGTTGACAAATCTGACGGTTTGTTTTGACCCAAGGCTTATCCTGTACAGAAGCTGGTGGATTTGTGTACTTAGGTTAAACTGGGGGCAATGTCTAAATTCTGTGGAGTAATGCAAGGGATTTAAGTTCAAGTCTCCAAAAGTGAAGGGCTGGTGTTAATCCACTCAAATTTTGGAGCTAAACTTGTGACATAACGGTTACGTACTCCGCTGCTGAAACCAACAAAGATGTAGCTGATCTGAAAATCTGTGCTAAAGAGCTCACTTAAGAGTTGTCGTGATACAGCCTTGTAATTGCAGTTTTGGCACTGTCAGTTTTAGACTGGCAAAACTCTTCTATCGGTTATGTCGGATGTTGTCACAGCTTTGTCACACACATGTTGTTGTGTGTGCTTAGTGCATAGGTGCTTTTTGTGTATATATTTATTTGTACAGGAATGAACGTCTTCATGCTGATGATAGAGTGAGTTTCCAGTCTCAGATCCGGAATTTTGTAACCCTGTAACTACTCTAGATCACTACAGAGCGTATTAAGTTCCTCTTTAGGAGATAAGGCGAAGACCACAATTTAAAAATGCTTGTCTCCCACTCAATTCAGTTGAATTTTGTGAGGACGTACCTTGCAGGGAGACGCTGACAAGATGCATTATCTGTGGGGAGAGAGCAGGCAAAACTAGAGAAATTCAGCCTTGCAAGTGTTGTGTGATGAAAGCACTACAGATTTAATGACATTAATTGTCATAATGACAGAAAGAAGGGAATACTGCTGTCTGGGAACCAAGGCAGTCTTGCATTCTCTTTTGTTAGTGAATAAGCACATTTTCTTACATTCAACCTAAATAGTTGCAGAGATTTACCATAAAAAGTTAAAAACAATGCTTCCTTTTTTAACATTTAACACAGGAGTCATATTGCTTAATATGTAAATCTGCTCCATTACACTGAATATACGCATACAGTTTTAACGTATGACTACAGGATAGCGCCTATTCCTGCGACTCTTCCTGCACCAAATTAGTAGTGATGTGTCCTTTTTCATTAATCTCTTAAATTAAATGTTAGTTTACACAAAGTAAAGGAGTTTAATGCATGTTCTATTAAAATAATCATTGAATTGGAATGGGTCTTATCTGATGTGCATACAAATCGTTCACTGTTAAATACACAATGAGATAATTTTATTGCTGTACACAGCGGATTAGTCCCATATGTCTCGTGAACAGACGTGAATTTGCGAGTATGTTTGTGAAGCACTAGAAATGCCTTACAAAACAGCACAAGTGAATAGGCAGTTGAAATATTTAAGCTGCAGAAAAGCCACATCTGCTGTGTTTTCAAAAACAGTTCAAGTCTGATAATTTGAAGATGCTCCAAGGTTTGTTGGTAAAATTAGAACATTGAAGTACGTCGAATGCCACTGAGGACACGCAGGTGTTTGGAGCTCAGTCAGGTTGAGCAATTAACAGTCGTGTTGTAACAGGATGTCACTTGTTTCGGGTTATTTAATACCTCTGGTAATTCAATCCGACTGTGTTGTAATAAAGCTATTGGCTAATTCACATGATACCTCAGCGTTAGCAACTTCCTTAGCAGAAGGGAAATCTGGATCTCTCAGTTAATACATTGTTTTTTTCCTAATGTACTTTGATTACAGAACGTTATCGGGTGGTACCGATTTAGGAGAAACACTCAGCAGCAAATGTCATACAGAGAGCACATCATCCATAAACAGCTGACACACATCCTTGGAGTGCCTGATCTTGTCTTCCTCCTCTTCAGCTTCATCTCCACTGCAAATAACTCCACACATGCTTTAGAATATGTGCTTTTTAGACCAAACCGAAGGTAAGCAATGTATACATGAACCAGTCCTCCTTTTTTGTTCTGCTTCTTATCGCTGTTCTTTATACTGTAAGCTATTTTGAAGTGTGTACAATTACACATAAAGAAGGCTTTGTGTTTGTCAGATGGTGTCTTCGTGTACGATTGTTAGCGATGACAGCTTTTATTTTTCTATGCAAGTAATATATTAACTAAAGTTTTGGGGTGAGCGAAAGTTCAGTCTTTGAAACTTAAGACAACAAAAATTACTTTAAAAGAAATCAGATGTCAGTGCCATGTTTCTTATAATAGACCTGAATTAAGGGAGTGGAGCATCTCCCTTATGCGGAAAGGCTGAGGGAGCTGGGTCTTTTTAGTTTGCAGAAGAGGAGACTGAGGGGAGACCTCATTCATGTTTATAAATATTTAAAGGGTGAGTGTCACGAGGATGGAGCCAGGCTCTTCTCGGTGACAAACAATGATAGGACAAGGGGTAACGGACACAAACTGGAACACAGGAGGTTCCACTGAAATTGGAGAAGAAACTTCTTCTCAGTGAGGGTGACAGAGCACTGGCCCAGGCTGCCCAGAGAGGTTGTGGAGTCTCCTTCTCTGCAGACATTCAAAACCCGCCTGGACGCCTTCCTGTGTAACCTCATCTGGGTGTTCCTGCTCTGGCAGGGGGATTGGACTGGATGAGCTTTTGAGGTCCCTTCCAATCCCTGACGTTCTGTGATTCTGTGAATATAGCATCACCCTTCTTGTATCCGTGGTAGTTTGAATGCACAGTTAGCCAGTCCAAGAGGTACAGAGGTAGGTCCATCTCAAGGGAGTTTTTGATCATCCATTTATTTTGAACACAACTTTTAATACTTGGCAGCTTTATGATAAACCTAATGCAGAAGCTTTAAAATTAAGACGAGTTGTGATCATCAGAGAGATGGGATAATAGCAAGGTGTTTGTAAATAATCTTTTGAATATGAATTAAGAACTCTTTTTAAACTTTCCCTAAAAAAAAAAAGGGTGTCACTTACTATTCCTAATCTAGGCAACACTAGTCAACAGGAATACAAAGTTTCTTCAGTGCCAAATACTTCTCAGAATTATGCCAAAGTTATTAAGGAACACGGGTAAGGATTTTTACTTTGCAAATGAAGCACAGTCATCAAGCTCTGTGTTCTTTATCTTCCAAAGAATAGCACAAATAAGCATTTTGAGCAGGAAAGTCCTAGTTCTGGAGGAGAATGGTTGATTCCTACCGTGCTTTTTCTGCTTGGAATTGAATCTTTTAGAAAAACAAAGGGAACTTGATGCACTAATGAGAAAAGCAGAGTTCATGTGGCCAGTTGGTGCTGTGGGCCTTCTGGCTGGAGGATTTGTATTCCTTTCTTTCTTTATTTTTTACCCAAGGAATTTTGTATGCAGTCTTACTTTAAGATGTGAACTCTGATTTGCAAGTTTTGAAGTCTTATTGGGTTTTTTTAAGTAGTTTAAATTAAATGCTGTAAATACAAAGTAGGTCTTCTGACTGTTAAACAAAGAAATTATACAAGCTTAAAGGTTTCTGCACAAGTTTAATCTCATTCAAATGGGAATTTGTTGTTCCAGAAGGAGTTTTGCTATTGAATATGCCGCTGTCCAAGTTTGGGTCCTTGAGAGTATAATACATCATTAGTAATATAAAATAAAATATATTTTAGAAATACAGTGATGAACTGCTTAACAGCAACTCAAAGGCAGCGTGAGCTAGAAACTTGTGTTGTCTTTTCTAACTAATGATTTCTACTCTTTATTTTAGTACTGATTTTTTTGACAAAGATGGAGTGATGAAGGACATCAGGGCTATCTATCAGGTTTATAATGCACTTCAGGAAAAAGTACAGGTAACTTCCTTTACTCAATACTGGTCACTATGGATGTGGCATCTTCTGTTTGTCCTTTGGTTAAACCAGGAGTGGAGGAGATAGAGAATTTTTGAGTTCAAACAATTTATCACAAATGGTAGGAAAATATGTTGGACTTCAATAACGAAATGTATCAGTTGTGTGCGTAAATGTATCAGCAGTGTGTGCTGTAAAAGTGGTTGATGCAGATATCATCAATTCTTTCTCTTTTGCGAGAGTGATTTAATACTAAGTAATTTCTGAGAGACATTAGCTATTTTTAAGAGTGTCCGCGCTGAAGAAAAGCCTTGCTGAAGGCTGTGGGGATTTGCACAGGTTTAAAGGCTTGCCTGTGTGAGTTTAAAAATGACTCCTGGCTCTCGGTAGGTAGCACGCAGCAAAGAGCTCCATCTGTTAGTTAAAAGTTGTGAATGTTTTTGTGTAGAGCAGGAGTGAATTCTGCTCCAAATGTGGCAAAGCAGCTGAAAGTGCCCTGTGCGTGTCAAATCTACTCAGGGTAAGCTTGTCAATTCGCAGCTTGTCCCTCTGCGAAGAGCAGCGGAGCTGCGCTGCCTCGAGAGCGCGCACATCTGCTAATTGTGCTGTAGTCACAGATTATTCCTAGGCTTTCCCCTTACATCTGCCCTGGAGGGATTTGTGCGTCTGCTCCAGCTTAGCTTTGCTGGTTGGCACATACAGCAGAGAACAAGGCAGTAATCGCTCCAGCCATCCCCTGGCCCTGCTTGCACGGGAGAGCTACCATTCCTCTGTGGAAATTGCTGTGTTTTAACCTGCCTCATAAGGTGGGTAACTCGCATGGAGAAGGCAGATGGCTTTCACGCCAGCTTCAGAAGACATGAAAATTTATTTTCAGAGCTCTATCCCATTAGGTAATAGTATTACTCTGTAATTCTGTTTTTGCCAAGAGCGCATACATCCTTCATGCTCTTGCTGTTTGAATTAGCGTGGAAAAACGGAAAATGTAACATCATCGGGGAGTTGTCTTCCTATCTAAGAAAAGTATGACCTTGTTGTATTTTGCCATGTAAATCGTGCTGCTGTACATTGTTTATGGAGCTTAAAAGTAACTTCGGTGTTAGCTGACTTGAGAAACTTCTGTTTTTAAAGTGAATCTTTCACAGAGAATGTTACAGGACTGGAAATCGGTTTTCTGGTCAAGCAGCTGGGATGTGTTTTTACATTATTCACCAATTAGTTGGGAGGGGATAGTTTAAACTTGATACACTTCTAAAAATTAGATACAGAACTGAAAGCATAGTTAATGTTTTTCAACTCTGTAGGTAAGGTCATTAATAGTAACCTTTTGGAGATAAAACAGTAGATGGCTAGAGACTTATTGCTGAACACCCATCAGTGCTTTAGAGTTGTGTGCCACCCAAAACTGATTGTGTTTAATGATAAGTAAAGTAAACAATACCCAGTACGTGTTTAGATTAAAAAATAAATCCCTATTATTCCGAACTGGTTTTAAACCTCGATCCTCCTATGCAAATGTCACCTTTATTTCCTAAGTGGCATAGGGAAATCTTGTTGAAAAATCCACGACCTTGTTTATTAAATAAAGGTATCGGGAGATCAGCTTGGGACAGTTGACTCTTGAGTCAGCTGTTTCATACCCCAATTCAAATTTGGTTCAGTACCAAAGTATATTCCTTGATGTTACATTTAGAACTGCGCTACTGTAGTAGTGTTATTGTGCTAACAACAATGTATTTAAAATGTATTGTTTTAAAAAAAAAAGGCAAAAATATAAGTTTCTTCCACCAAGTAGGAAGTACTAACTTTGCATCTCATTACAAATGTTCCTGCAATGCTGAATTATTTGGAAATGCTTCTCCTATCATGCAGCAGTTGGGAAACTAAATTAAATGATCTTCAGGTTGAGTGTTATGCTCTGTTATGGTTAACTCCTGCAGTTAGTTTTGTGCTTTTAATGGCTTCTTGTCTGGTAGTAGCTTTATTAATGTTGGCACGGAAGTCTTTGCTGTATTTTTGCAAAACCTTAGCCTATCTCATGTTTTTCTCCTAGGCAGTGTGTATAGATGTAGAAAAGAGTGAACGTGTTGTCGAATCTTTTCAAGCTGATGTAAACAAGTTGAAAAGGCAAATCGCACAGAAGAAAAACGAAAAAGAACAAGAAATAAGTAAGTTGCCTTTTCATTTTTTTTTCCTTTCAGAAGAAGATGCTGTGAGGACAAAACACTTCGTGGCATTATTTTTGAGTTTTATTCCTGATAGCTCATAGCAAGGGAAAAAAAAAATCACATTGGGAAGGACATATGATGGATTTACATTGAGTGATACCTGAACTGGGAAAGTACGTGTACTGCAGGTATTTCAGTAGGAGTCCAGGGAGAAATGGACTATTCTGGAAATAGCACAGGAAAAGATGGGTTGTAGGAAAGGAAAAGTGGAGCTAAGCCAGGAATGGAAAAAGCAAATCTAAACACTGGAGAAATCTCTTTACAAGTGCTGCACGGAAGCAGGGCACTGCATTACAGGCCAGTAGCTATCAGTGGTTTTTAAAGTCTTTATTCCCTTTCCCACTCCCCAACCCTACACCCAAATGCAAGCCCAGCACCAATTAAATCAGAATTCAGTCACACTACTGGACACCAGGCAAACTGGGCGAAGGAAGATGGGTGCTGAAGTGATGAATATCGATGTAGATCATCTGAAGTGCTGTCCAGATGACTTTTGACCTTGCAGCTTTTAGTGGATAGATCAGGTTTTTCACCACTGATTTAGAGTCTACGTTTTATCTTCCTCTCCCACTTCATAGTTGCTAACTAATTTAGGCGGCGTTTCTTCTCATAACTTGCTGCCTTAGTGGTGAATGTGATTAGCATTGAAATACCACTTTTCAGTGTTAAACTAAATAGTCCCAGAAGTCCATTTTGAAGTCATTTCTGTCTTCAGGAGTACCTGCTAGGAATTGGAAGAAACTATTTAAATGCAGAATATTATTGGAATTTGCCTGCCTGTCAGTGATGATACAGTGCTTGAAATAGGCATTTCAATTTATATTTTATTTCTATTGATATTAATATAATAGTTATATAT